AGATTCCCTCCCCCTTCTCTACCCTCACCTTACTAACCCCCACCCCAACTTCATGTCCTCTATTATTATTGGTCTTTTTTTTAAGGCCTAACAAGACTAATCTGTGTTTCCTAAATGCTCTTGGGTGTGGGTCTGTCCCTTCAAGTCTAGTGAGCCTACCAGGTATTAGACCAGAAAGGAAAACTGACTTTCACTCTCCCAGGAGCCATCAGTTGCCAATAGACCCTCAGCTAGGACTGGAGCTTCCTGCCCAACTCCCCAATCCATGCTGGGTCCCTGCCTGGCTTGGGTTTACGTAGGTCTTCTGCATGCTGTCATAAGTGCTGTGGGTTCATATGTGCAACTACCCTGTGGTGTCCAGACAACATGGTTTCCTTATATTCATCTACCACTTCTGGTTCTTAAATTTTTCCTCCCCCTCTTCTGAAAGAACTATTTTTGCATTCCAGAATAACCCACTATGTGGGCCAGGTGGTAGATATCTTTAATCCCCGCATTAGGGAGGCAGAGGCAGGTGGATCTCTGTGAATTCGAGACTATCCTGGTTCCCAAAGTGACTTCCAGGCCAGCCAGAGATATACAGTAAGAACTTGTCTTTAATTTTTAAAAAATATTTATTATTTTTATTTTATGTATATGAGTGTATTGCCTGCATGTAAATGAGTGCGATCGTGTTATGCAATGCTGTGGAGGTCAGAAGAGGGCTTTGGATTCCCCTGGAACTGGAGTTAAGGACGATTCACAGCTACCATGTGGGTGCTGGGAATTGAACCCGGGTTTTCTGCAAGAGCAGTCAGTGCTCTTAACCACTGAGCCATCTCTCCAGCCCCAAGAACTTGTCTTTAAAAAAAAATTCCAATATGTTTTTTTCCTTTGAGGCAGTGATTGTGGAAGTTGGACTTTCTTTTTAATTCCATTGACCATTAGTGTAATAGAAATTAGATATAACTAGTCACTGGATACTTTTGTTGAATTGACCCATTTAGAAAAAGTGATTTAAATACACACCAAAGAAGCTTGTTCAGGACAAAGGGGTCTTCTACCTGATTTTTTTTTCTTATGTTTAAAAACTATTTAAAGC